GAAGTTACAACCCTCTAAACTACAAAGATCCTACATGTAATGTTAATGGAGACAATTGGAAAGGAGGAGATAGGGTGATTTTTCAACTGTGAATACATCTTATATTTTTATTTGGACAGAAAGGAGCATTAACTTTGATCAAATGACGAAGTTACAACCCTCTAAACTACAAAGATCCTACATGTAATGTTAATGGAGACAATTGGAAAGGAGGAGATAGGGTGATTTTTCAACTGTGAATACATCTTATATTTTTATTTGGACAGAAAGGAGCATTAACTTTGATCAAATGACGAAGTTACAACCCTCTAAACTACAAAGATCCTACATGTAATGTTAATGGAGACAATTGGAAAGGAGGAGATAGGGTGATTTTTCAACTGTGAATACATCTTATATTTTTATTTGGACAGAAAGGAGCATTAACTTTGAACAAATGACGAAGTTACAACCCTCTACAACTACAAAGGCTACTGTGAGAAATTTATGGATTTTCTCCAAATATGGCGGTCAAGGGACATAACTTTTGTAAAGTGTGAATTGGTCTCACAATACATTTGGTGCGCTGCGCCAATCAGCCCGCCACGCAATCATATCGTAATTTGCGTAAACGCATTATTTCAGAGTTTGTGTATCGGCGTAGTAATTCAATCATCATGATCATGTAAAGGAATTGAGTTCCGAATGGAATGATCGAAACGCAATTTGATCGTAGACACGCCACCGGCAAATGAAATTGATTATAAGTTTTCATTTTCCAAATTATTGCTCAGTGATAGTTTTTATGAGTATAAGCCTATGATAGGAAAATTTGAAATAAATATTTGTAACTTCGGGTTCTTTGCGGGGGTAACCGTAAAAGTTTTCGAGAAAAAGCCAAAGTTTTAGGTTGGGGCAAGTCCACGGGTTGCATATAACAACGATGAAAGATGAGTATAGTTCCTTGTGCGCTCGCCGCAACGGTCACAGCTATAAAACCTATTTTTTAAAAACGTCTATCTTCAGAAAAGCCATCCAAAAAATAATTAAAAGTAAAATTCCATTTCTGTCAGTTAAAAGTTTGAGTTGTCCCTAATAAGTATTCAATGCCAAACATCTAAAGCAATACATATCTCTTTTAAACAGCTGTTTATTACATATCTGACGTCATGGAAAATTACAACGCCCATAGATCCCTCGTTTAGTAAAATGAAGTGTGTTTCGAGTCTATTGGTTCTACTTTCTTCCTTTACTCTATCTCGTAAAATTTGAAAGGCATTTTACGACTACACAAATTGTTACAAAATCGAACTATTCATTTCTATTTCTTTAACGCAATGGTTGGATTAATTAATATTGGTGTAAAATAACATAATAGAATCCGACATTTTTAAGTCCGGCTTAACATATATGGAATTGGCGGGTAAATAGTGTCCCTTTTTGGTGGCAGAGGATAGTTTCGAATAAAGTACCGTCAAAAAATAGAAAAAAAAGAGAAACCTGAGGTTTGAATGCATATTATAGGTAATTTTATAGCTAGAATATTTTATGGGTGCATTTGGAGGGACTTGGTGGCCTTGTATATTGTATTGAAATATGACACTTTAGTGTCACTACTACTGTATATGGGATATGGACTAGAAATACGAAACTAAGCTCAAAACTCGCTCTACCAGTATTTCACCAGAAAAGCGGGGTGGGTTCACAGGATGAATTGTAGCTTGAAAACGAGGTGGTTGAGCCATTATCTCTTGCTGTTCATTGGTATGTACAAATGTTATTCTGCAATTTGTGTGGTAGCTTAGGTCAGGCGCACGGGCCTGGAAGCAGATGCGGCTTAGGCGAAATAGTGAAAATATGCTTGATTCACATGAAATTTTGAGATTGTCCCTGCGCCATCTTTAGGGCTCATTGTGTAAGTTGTACATGTTTTATTCCTAAAAGCTTCAAATTTTCTCTAGGGACTACTTCATACTATTATTACATGTAGAGGGAATTTAAAATTTTTCAATGCACATTTTTAAAGCAGCTCAATATTAAGTAAACCGTCAGTCAAACGTTTTGATTGCAAAAAAACCTATCCTCTGCCACCTTTTCCCAACACAATTCAGCGAACGAACTCAAGATGTCAGCATCGAAAAAAGTTGAAGCTAGAACTGTATCGGGTTTTGTCCAAAACGTTTCTACCATTCGCACGAGTATGACGAATTCTCGGTACTTTAATGCAGTTGTTCAAACCAAAAGAAATGAGTTTAACAGAATCGCCTGTTTCGATGTTTCAAAACACTCAGTACTTACGGATGCTAGTCGAGCACAAACCCCCTTTAAATTGTCGGATGTACAACTAGTACCGAACAGGATTGACTCTTCAAAATCTGAAGTTTTGTTAGAAGTGTGTAGAACTCTGAACTTCAACTACAAAAAATCTCCAGACGACGATTACAAGACGGGTGAAAAAGTCAAAACCCTTGCAAAGTCCAAGCGACTCCGGAACACACCAAGGTATTTATTGGGTAAAACGAAGATAATCGCCCCCATATTACCTAGTATTTTATAAAAAAAAAATTTAAAAGTGCTTAAACGAAGTTTGGGGGGGTATATAGGAATCACCTTGTCCGTCTGTCTGTCTGTCCGTCTGTCTGTATGTCCGTCCGTCCGTCTGTCTGTGCAATCGTGTCCGGTCCATATCTTTCTTACAGAGGGACATTAGAATCTACTACTCCACACTAAGATTGCTCATGACCTAAGGGTGTGTCATGACCTTGACCCAAGGTCATTTGGGGAAGTTCAAGGTCACTGGAAGAAAAATTTCATAATTCGTGTCCGGTCCATATCTTTTTTTTATGGATAAACTTGGTAGGTTCTCATTTCACACAAAGATTGACCATGACCCAAGGGTGTGTCAGGACCTTGACCCAAGGTCATTCGGGGAAGTTCAAGGTCACTGGAAGAAAAATTTCATAAATCATGTTTGATACATATCTTTTATAGATGAACTTGGTAGGTTCTCATTTCACCCAGAGATTGCTTATGACCTAAGGGTGTGTCATGACCTTGACCCAAGGTCATTTGGAGAAGTTCAAGGTCGCTGAAAGAAAAGTTTCAATATTCGTTTCTGGTCCATATCTTTCTTATGGATAAACTTGGTAGGTTTTTATTTCACACAGAGATTGCCCATGACCCAAGAATGTGTCATGACCTTGACCCAAGGTCATTTAGAGAAGTTCAAGGTCGCTGAAAGAAAAGTTTCATTATTCGTGTCCGGTCCATATCTTTCTTATGGATAAACTTGGTAGGTTTTTATTTCACACAGGGATTGCCCATGACCCAAGGGTGTGTCATGACCTTGAAACAAGGTTATTTGGGGAAGTTCAAGGTCACTGGAAGAAAAATATCATAATTCGTGTCCGGTCCATATCTTTCTTATGGATATGGTTGGTTCTTATTTCACACAAAGATTGCCCATGACCCAAGGGTGTGTCATGACCTTGACCCAAGGTCTTTTGGGGGAAGTTCAAGGTCACTGGAAGAAAAATTTCATAATTCAAGTCAGGTCCATATCTTTCTTATGGATAAACTTGGTAGGGTTCTCATTTCACTGAAAGATTGCCCATGATCCAAGGGTGTGTCATGACCTTGACCCGAGGTCTTTTGGGGGAAGTTCAAGGTCACTGGAATAAAAATTTCATAATTCCTGTTTGATACATACATGTATATTTATTATAGAAAAACTTACTTCTGAAAAACCCAGCGGGGGGTATTTTGTCCCGTTTGGACAGTTCTAGTTAAGGTCTTCCGTTTCCAACAGAAGACCTTCTACTGATTCTGTTGGTAAAGATTATTATTAGGGTCTTCCTCTTCCTTCGGAAGACCCTACTGTTATTCTATTGTTTCTTATTATTCTTTTTTTTTTCCCGCTCGACTTTTGACAGGCGATTTCTCAAAGACCTTTGGACTGATCGTTATGAAACTTTCAGGATAGATAGCTTGTACTTAAACCTATTTAAACCTGTTTTCAGTTTTTTTATGCATGCCTTTATTTGTGAGTTATTGCCCTTTAATTGAAAATTTTTGATGTCTCGTTTCCACTGAAAATCTCAAAAATGACATAAGATATTTACACGAAAGTTGGAGAACTTGTAGCCAATACATTGTAGATGTGCACAACGATAAAATTATATAGCTGATTTCTTAAAGTTTGGAAGCTATAAAACGGCAAATTTTAGTAATTTTTTTCTTTGAATTTTTGCTACTTTTTGTGTAATAACTTTTAAACCGAGAATAATTTGGTAAGAAATATAGAACAAAAGTTGTGGGTAATTACGAGAGCTTTCATATTTGATTAACGAAAAGGGGCTGGCCCCTATAATTAGGGGTTAATAGCTCATACATACTTTTTTCTGATAGCTAAAAGTATTGGTATATTATGAAAAAGTTTGACTGAAATAATTTCGAACTTATAAAATCTTGTCATTTGATATAAAAAGAAATAAACTTCCAGCTATATTTAATTGTTTTTTTTATAAAACAAGTACATGTACGTGAGAAACCTTTCAGGAACAAGTTGTCTACTATAGCCAGCCAAGCCTTTACTGCATACATGTGCACATTTTTAGTTGATGCATCTAAAAGATATAGTTTTTATTCGGTGTTTCTTTGTTTTCTTTTTATTCAAATAATTTTAAAATGTGATGATGTACACAACAATAATTAGTACCTAGTTTAGAGGATTTTTTCGCGCTTGTTTGTAAACAACGCGCGGCATTGTGGGAAATAGGAAGGTACTAAAGACGCGATGTACTAAACACTGATTTGACCTTATTCAAATTTGTCTGTAAATGTTCCAAACAATTGAATTTTTGTATAGCATATGCTTCGAAGTCATAAAGTCTGTACATAAGTAATTTAAAATACTCAATATTACCATTTAATTAAAAATCAAAACGTCAGGTAAATATCAGGTCTCAAGTATATCCCGTTTTTAGTGTGCCCCTTCGAGTCGACGTCGGCCACATGTTTGCCATGGTTTACAAACTGAAAATAGAATGATTTGTGAAGTTGAACATTTTCTCACAAAGAATCCGTTTGTGGACATGTACACTCATTTAATCTGCAGCTACGGAGTACTTTGTCACTTCTCTGGAACATTATTCTAAGCAGAATTATCCTTATTCATATATTCTAAGAATCTTGTGTGAATTGTTTACGAGGAAATTCTGACTGTCACATTAACAAGGATGATCACTCTTGACTCTGCTTCGGATTCCCCAGTGATAATTGTATCGAGTGATGAAAGAGCTGACGGCGACATTTTAATGTATGATTGGCCTGGACCATTGGAATGAAGGTTAGAATATTTTTATTACTTAAAATTTACACTACTGATTACATGACAGTGACATACATTGATGTTATTAGAAATACACAGACACACCGATATATTATCTGTTTTACAGTTCAGACGCTCTCTGTTTACCTTGTAAATCCCCACAGCTTTATATTTTATTTTTTTAAATTTGAGGATGTAATTTCAACAGTCCTACTATCTATCATAGTGATCATACTCTATGATTCAAACTGCACTTAATGTTACAGAATATATCATACTCTATAATTCAAACTGCACTTAATGTTACAGAATATATTCAACTAATTATTTATTGACAGTGTGACTGTAAGGGTGAGGGCAATACTTATTTAGTTTTAATTTAGATTGTGCTTGTCAAGCCGCATTTGACATTTGGTGCATCCATGCTCAGTGTTCACACTGAGAGTTTTTTCAAATGTTTAATTCGAACGAATTCACTGCTCATTAAATTACTTCCCATTAGCTCCATGTGAACATGAGTAAGGATAGCTAATTCAAATTAAATAGAAATGAATTTTTGAATGTAGCTTAAACATTTTAAAGAAGCTAAGCACTGTGGGTCCAAAGTATACTGCGGAAAAATTGTGTGGAGCAATGTGCAAGTCACAATCTTCTTTTGCCAAGGTCTTATCATAAGAGCTCGCATTATGGGCAGGGATTTGTGCTGCTGTCTGGACTCGCTATAAATATATGTTCTCAAAAAGTCTAAATTATTTAATATCATATACTTTACTGACAAAAAAGGACAAATATTGCTCAGTTAAATTGCAAAAGAAATTTGTTTAAAAAAAATTGTAATAATAGAAAGTTTGCTTTTTTGTTTGATAAGACTGCTGTAATGGTTTAATGTTTGTTTATTTGCCTTAATCATACATTTTTCAGTCATTTCATGGTGCCACCACCTGGGATGGTATTAGCTTCAAATATAGACTTGTACTCAGCACTTATTGCCTTTAAGAAGTATGAGATCCATTTTGTGCTAACACCTACCGTGACACAGAATCTTGGTTTATGCAGTCTCATAGGAGTAACCTGTCTAAAGCATTTAGCAACGGGATTGGAACCTGCGACGTAAGGTTCAGCTTCTTATTGATACTTTGATTTATAATATTTATTTGAGAATTTCACTCATTCACATACTTAGAGATGTTGATATATATTGTTGAATAGCATCAATTTAGACCTTTACTTAGCTAAGTAAACATGTACTGTGATGTTTTTAAGGTCTCATTCATTTTATATGCCAGATGCATGTTAAGGAACATTACTGCATAAATGTTTTTGTCTTAAATTTGAAGCTCTTTACTAATATAGAGATATGTTAGTGTTAAACCTCTTCAAATTAGGGTAGACCTTTACTTTAAACTCAGC